ATTTTTGTAATACTTTTAACCATTAAGACTTGAAAAAGTAAAAAGCTGAAATAGGTAAGACTGAAATATGGGAAAGTTTGGTGTGGAAACCGTTAAGTGAAAACAAGGAAAAAAATAAAGATATTAAACCGGTAACTGAAAAGAGAAAAATAAATAGAAATATTGGTTTTCAAACCAGTAAAAAAGGATAAAATACATCAAAGTCGGTTTTCAAACCGGTATAAAAACGGAAAAAAGACTAGATGAAAATAAAATTCGGTATTTAACCGTAACTGAAAAGGAAAAAATAAAATAAAATAAATAAAAAATAAACACTGTCGGTGTTCAAACCGGTATAAAAAGAAAATGCTTAAAGAGGTGTTTGGGTTTCTCAATTGTTTCCCTGAACGATATCGCCTTTCCCTCGCGGTACTTGTTCACTATATGATGTGGTGACATTTAGCCTTAGATGGAATTTACCACCATTAGAGCTGCATTTTCATGCAAACTCGACTCATTAGAGAGACTTGACCTTAGAGATCGGTTCCTCTCGAACACTACATTTCCCCTGGGGATTCAGTGCCGGGCTGTTCCCTGTTCGCTCGCCGCTACTGAGGGAATCCTTTTTAGTTTCTTGTCTAAAGACAACTGCCTTGTTGAGGTCGTCATACGTTCTTTGTGGAACGCACTTGAATTGTATCGACGAGGAACCTTCGAATCGCCCATTGCTGGACTGGTTCACACGTTCAATAAATTATTTAAGAGCACGCGCATTTAAAATGCACGAAACTCCATCATTCGCTGACAAACCAATTAAGGGATGCAGCAGTCTGGTAAGTGAAACGACACTCAGGCAGCAGTCGGTCCGGGAACATTATCCTCTGACCTCAATTTGCGTTCGATATGTCGATTTTTTTCATCGACCCACATCATGTCAAGTGATCCATCGTTCAGGGCATTCGTTGAGATTCGTTGAGACCTGAAATAACGCAAAACCCCACCAGACGTTGGCGAGCCGCGACAGAAGCGACGCATTACAGGCAAACACCTGTCCGGTAAAGTAAAACGATTATTCAGGCAGCAGAAGGGAAAAAATCACAAACACAAATGCAAAACTCCACCAGACGCCGGCAAGCCGATTAGAGCAGAGCCCATTAAGGCAAACACTTGCCCGGTAAAAGTAAAGCCAAGTGAAGTGAATGTCGGGCAGAAGAGAAAAACAATTCAAGACCTGAAATAGGCGGCAGAAATGAAATACATAGAAAAGTTGGGTGTTGAAACCGTTAATAATAGATGTGGAAATTTAGTACAATTTACTGATTAAAACAATGCAATAGCAATGAATAAAAGTTAGAAATATTTGATATTGAGTAAGTTGAAAAATAAACGAAATTCAAATATAAAAATTGGCTCAAATTATGTGGGTTGTTCTTGGTAACTTTTGGTTAGTTAGACCCCCCCACCGCGTTAAGGTGACAACCCATCGAGGGGGATTAAATAATTCATGAGGGACAAAGTGATGAAAGAAATTGCAATGATAGGAACTTTAGGCAATGACAATGACAAATTAGTTGACTATTTAGGAGAAGTTCAGGTATAGCCGAGATGGGGTTGGCGGCTACTAGATGGCGCTGATATATAAATGATGACAAAAGATTAACGAATATATTATATAATAGATTCCAGTAGAAGTTGTAGAAACAACAAGAGACCATACATATACAGAAACTCGAATACAGAGACAAATAGTGTAATAGAGATTGTAGTTAGAGTTAAAAAAAGTCATAGAGTGAGAATTATATTATATAACGAATAAAATGTTTTCGGATATCCATCCAATAATTGAAAGAATTAAATAAGAGAAATGTAAATTTTCATTATAATAGCATAAGTTTCGAATATCAATTTGACTAATCTTTACTGCATACAAATAATCAATTCAAAACTCAAAAACAAGAACACTAATTAATATAACACGTATAGTTATTTATGAAAAAAACATACAATATTAAAATAAAATTAAAAAAATATATATAAAGATACTTGTGATCGTATCATGGTAAATGTTTGAATCAAATTTTCAAATGTTTTCAAAAGTTTGATTCAAATGTTTGCCATGATTTGGTCACAAGTACTTTCATAAATTTTATTTAATTTATTTGAATACTGAATTTTTTATATATATATATATATATATATATATATATATAACTATGTATTATATTAATTAGTGTTCTCATCACCCCTTTGTTTTGATTTGATTATTTGTATGCATTGAAGATGTGTCAAATCGAAACTCGAAACCTATTCTATTATAATAAAGATTTACATTTTTCATTATTGAATTCTCTAAATTGTTGCAAAAAATGCCCAAAAACCTTTCATCGTATATCTTTAAATACCTGAAAACACATGTGTGTATATATACATACATATATACATATATATATACACATATAAACATAAATAAATACATAAGCATATACATAAAAATGATAAAAACTAAATAAAAATATCCTAGCTATTTCAATGTAAATAAAACAAATTCAACAAGTAACAATGCCACACGATCGAATGAAGAACTCTCTGCAACATCGAAATAAATAAAAACCAAAAACGCCACAAAGAAACCAACCAAAAAATGACAAAAACCAGAAAAAAACAAGAAAATAATTGCACATCAGCCCTACATAAAAATCATCGTCATAGGCTATGAAAATTATTTATTTATTTCAGTGAAAAAATAAATAATATAACTCCATAAGTTGAAAATAAAAAAATCCTACCTTTGCAGCATCTTCGCCCATTCTCTTCAATATTATAAATATCTGCAAAATCTGCATCTCTCTGCAAACTAGAAGTGATGTGGGCTCGAAGTGATAAGATCATATCAAAGTGATAAGATCATATCAAAATCTGAAAATAATGAAAAATATAACATTAGATTTGATGGAAAATAATAACTATTTATATATTTATTATAATTTTATATTAATTAAGTCATATAAAATAATAAATAGATGATGGAATTATGTCATTATATCTTTATTTTAAAAAAATATTCATCTAGATGATATGAAATAATTCCATTTTATATTTATTGTTTTATGTAACTTGAAAATAATATGTAAAAAAAAATATAAGTATAATTATTGAATAAATAGGTATTTATAATTATTGAATAAATAATAATTTAAGTATTTAAATCAATTAGCAATGGTTTGCAGATGAACTGAAGTTACAACGGACGCCATCTTGTTTTGCAAATGCGCCGCTAGATGGCTTGTTAATAGTTTGCAGAAAATTTGCAAATAATAAAATATTAAAACAATATGAAATTTTATACGAAAATGAATCAAATTTGTGAAATACAAATGATTTATATTGGGTTTTAGCGTTGCAAATACGATTGTAATGTTAAAAAGGCGTTTCAAACTTTGGTCAATTGACAGTTGACGCCGTTTTGTTTCGGTTCAAGACCGAAGAATTTTTCGTTGCTTTTTTGCAAAAAATAACTGTACAGGTGCAGTTTTTTTAATGTAAATGGATACATTAGGTCAAAGTTTATTGAATTTTCATCAATAATACGCCGTGAAAACGGTTATATTATTTAAAACAGGACAAAACCACCGTTGGTGATTATGGCCGCCATCTTGGATTTTGCAAATGTCACAAAATTTGAATAGCGAAAAAACGCAAAAATCTCAATAAATATTATGTAAAAGTGCAATAATAATAAATAATATGTGATAAATTTATTGCAAATCAACAACAAAGCACGCCTACGATATTTTTACAGATGTAAACATTGTTTACAAATCAGTACCAGACGGTGTCACTTGTTGTGCGAATAAAACTTAATAATTAAGCAAAATTATAAAGAATAAAAGTTCTTACCTTTAATATGTGTAAACTGCATGCCGGAACACACTTTATAACACTTTATAAACACTACTTGGTTGTAAAATAATTATTGTTCATTTTGATCACTTATTGTACTTGCACTACGAGATGTTCACTGTTCGGGAGCTGACGCACTAATGAGCTGCGCGTTAATTAGCACCGCCTTATATATGCTGGTTGGAGGCTACTCGCGGTGGCGCTCCCGTGGGTGAAAGAGCCTCCGGAAGAAAACATAACCCCTGTCTCAAACTTGTTAATTATTGGGATTTAAATCAAACTTCATGAGTAAAACCTCATATATATGTTGAAAACTATAAAAAACTTAATTACAATCACTAATTAAGCTCTATTCGTTAGTAATTAACTTACTAATTAAGCACTATTCGTTAGTAATTAATCACTGCACAACAATCAATTGTATGGATTCAAAGTAAACAGAAACAAGCAATTTAAAATAAATTCGTTAAAACCACACAATGACACTATGTAGAAATGATTAAAAACAATATGCTTGGCACAATAACTTTGCAATACAATTTTGGCAACCGATTTCCACACATTTTTTTACAAATTTGAATTTGTATAAATATATAACCACAAAATTTTTGTTATTCTTTCAGTTTTATACGTCAAAATTAAATTCATGTAAACTGATAGCAGTGAAGTGTGCCACATAATTGAAACTATGCAAAACATCTTATTCTTTATTGTGTTCGTATCAAAACTGCAAATATTTCAATAAATACATCAAGATATGATAAATACCGATTAAAATGTAAGTATAAACTGTTAAAACATTATTGTAATCATATTTATATAAACTTTGTGTAAACTTGTGTAATTGTTTTTCACAAGTCTTATCAGTCAAATGTCATGTCAGTTCAACTACCATTTTTATTAATAATTCTGTATTTATTTTTGATTTTGTTTAATGATTATTTATAGTACAGAAATCTGTTACATTAATACAGTGACTATATTAACAATTACTTAATTCATCTGAAAACATTTTGTATATATTAGACCCTACAGTAAGACAACTGAAGGTTTCTCTATATTTGCATAATTATTAATAATAAGAATAACTACACAGAATGTATAATCAAATCATGATTGTTTAGGGTGTAATGGAGGATTTGTGGAGATATTTGGATTGCTCTACTCATTCAAGACAATATAACCTTGTTGTGGAAATGTCGAAGGGCACACTTTTAAATGCAAATAAAATGTATACTATAATAAATATATAAATAAATTGTTCACTTTAAGATGACTGCCTGTATATACTAAATTATATTCTAACACTTTACTCAAGTTTATTATGATTTTATCAATCAGTCAGGAGAAATATCATAAGAGGTAATTATTCTCGATTGTTAACCTAATTTATTAATGTTGCACAGAATTTTAGTTGGAAAATAATCACAAATCAAGTCGACTTTTATCTGTAATGCAACTATCGGTTTCTCTATAATTATATAATTAGAATGGCTACACAGTAAATGTATAAACAAATTATGATTCTTTAGGTTTTAATGGAGGATTTGTGGAAATATTTGGATTAATCTACTCAATCAGAACAATATAACCTTGTTATAAAGATGACGAAGGGCACACATTGCAATCGCAAATAAAATGGATACTAAGTTCACTTAAAGATGACTGCCTGTATATAATGGATTATATTCTAATACTTACAGATTCTTTCCTCAATTTCAAAATTTTAGTTTGGTATGATAATTTCCAGCAATTTGCCTCAAGGCACGATGCCATACACCACTAATTTTTAATGAAAACTGATATCACTAATGCTAGATATCAGTTGTGCCTAGTGTAGGATTAGAACTCGAACCTTTATGGTTGCAAGGCCATGGTTCTTACTGTAATAATTTATTTCAAATGTATGTAATTCACTTTTGGATTTATTTTTGTTAGTAATATTTGAATAGATATTATATATGAATTCGATAAAGATATATTTTCTAAAGTGATCTTTAAGACTTTCAGTCCATTTCCAAATTGCTCTATAAATTAACAGTGATATATATAATTAACATTATATTATATACATTGATGTAATAAAACTCAATGGCAATTTATTACAATATCTTTAATGTGTTAAATTTATTTTTAGATTCATCATTTTACTAGAAAGATTTTATCTTGTGCAGCAACAAACTTTATTTTTAAATAAAGATAATGTGAAAGCATTTTGGACAAATTCATAAAGTTTCAGCATTTTATTTAAAATACAAAAGGTAAATACATACATTTGTCCTCACTAGATAAATTTATATTTTTGGTAACCAAATGCAAGTTTTCTCATGAATTTAACACTATATAAACCAACAGTTAGATAAATTGTTGCAATAAATATAAATATACTTTAATTCTAGATAATAGATTTCATCATGTGCTACAATTTATTGCAAATTGTTTACACTTTACATTTTAATATAAAAGATTTGGCAAAAACTCTACAAATAATTTTAGAAAACTAATTAGAATACTATAGACACCTTTTGGTATGAAAATACTAGATAAATAAACTTATGTACTCGAGTACAAAAAGTGATCACTTGATGAATATAAAATTTACACAAGTACTTTCTGTTAATTTTGAGAATATTAAATCATTTTAGCAAAAAAATTTAGTAGCATTTTATTATATATAATGTCTCCAAATGTATATGATTTATTTTTAGATTTACATCCCAAATTATCTGATAGAAATCTTCACGGGCATAAATTTACAGAAAATTTGTTGAATCTTATATTTAATTGAAGATAAAGGCAAAATCTCTACAAATTATTATAAAAGTATATTATGAGAGTTTCAATATTATTTTGGCAATATAAATTGTAAGTAAGTATATCAACATTTTTGTTAAAATAAATGTATAGACAACAAATTCACAACTTTTTTAACATTTTGAGACCATTCCAAAAATTAAAAGTTTGTATACAAGTATATTAACAAAAATAATTTTAAATCGATACTTTTATTACTAAATATTTGTACATGTTTCAAAAGTTATAACTGGTATAAATATTAGTATACTAATATTTATACCAGTTATAATTTATATATATTAAGTGGTAAATCTCAAGAAAATCATATGGAGACATTTATATTATTAATACTTGAACAAATTCATATTTTTCATATAAGCATTTAATTATAATGATAAAGCAAACGAAATTATTAATAATTGTGCAATAATTGTTAAAATATATTGTATCTAATTTATTTTCATATTGATCATTTAACAGAGAACTTCAAGTACAAAAATTTGCAGCAAATTTCTTAAACTACATATAAATTTATATTTGAAGAAATATAATAAGATAAATTTATTACAATATCTATAAATTATCATCAGTATTTTGTATACAATTTAATTGCAAAATTTTTATATATTGATATTATATAATATAGAGATCAAACACAAAATATTTTCATCACATATGGATATTATTTCATTTTTTAGTTTTGCTAAAAATATATCAAATTCCTTATTACAAATTTTAATTTTAACTCTTTATCTAAATTTTATTTATATTATTATTATTTTGTATCATTTTACTGTTTTTTTTTTAAATTCAGTGCATATATTTTTAGAACTCTTTTTTTAATTTTTTATTTTATACCATAAGAATCTTTCTAATATTTTTTATTTGTTTTTAGATTCATTAAATTAATAATTTGTCTGATGGAACTTATTATTGTGATAAACAACATCTTTATATAATAATTTACTGCAAAGTTAAAGGAAATAGAAAACCAAATGATACAAATTTACCAGGATTTTATAAATATAGAAAAATGTTTAAATTGAATTCAGGAGAAAATAAATAAATAAATAAATATATATATATATATATATATATATATATAAAAATTATTAGGTATGTATTATAATAAAAAATATTATTTATAGAACTTAAATAGAACAGAAATAAATCAATACATATACACTAAATTTTATGGGTACTTTTCCAAAATAAATATTACAATTTAAAAATTTTACAAGAAAATTAATTAATTCTAATATTAGATCTAGATAGAATAAAAAATAAGATTTACATATTACAGCTTTGTGGTACAAAATAAACATTGAGAACTTTTTTGAACTTTACTTTAAAAAATATATTTTGCAGGCTAGATTAATTTTATTCAATTTTAAAATTATTAATTTTTCTAACATAATCATTTAATAATTAAATTCATTTGGAAATCTGTTATAAAAACTTATTATTTTAATAAGCATTTCAATACAACACTTTTAATGCATGTAATATTTTTTAATGATGTTTAAATGACTTAATAATCATAAAAATATAAATTATTTAAAGTATAAATTAATCTTAATACATTTTTCTTTTGTATAAAATGGAGTCGATAAGATAATTTATAAAGAAAAAGCTCAGTCAATGCCGTTTGTAGTACAAACTTGTAATTCTAATATATTTTTCATGCATATCTCTTTTAAATGACAAATACTATTATTAACTTGGTATATTAAACAAAATTGTGAATTTTTAATAATTTACCTGAATTTTCATCATACACTTGTTCACTTTTACACGGTCTTTTTGTACACGGTTTTGATATAACACGGTTTGAAAATTGAATATTTTTAATTTTTTTACACGATTTTATTCCATTTAGCACGATTTGAAATTTTATGTACTTAATTTTTTTTTGGCAAATTTAATTTTTGCAAAGTATGTTTATATCACAAAAAAGTATTTATGAAAGAAAAAATGTGAATAGCACTAATTTAGGGGAATTCCCTTTATGTGCTTACAATAAAATTTACTGGTCAGATTTAAGTAATAACCTATTCTTTTCGTTCACAACATAGTTTTTTATTTCCTGAACTTGTCATACATTTAATTTACATTACTTTTAAGATTAGAGTGCATATCTTTTTTATCATTAATTACTATGGTTGTGAAAATAAGCATTATATATTTGATTTAGTAAAATAAACATGAATTCTTGTTCTTAAAAATTCTTGTTTTTCACTAATTTTGATAGGTTTTAGAGATTAGGAACAAATCACCCATTTTTGTATAAGATCAATGTCTTTTTTACACGTTTTTTTTTTACACGGCTTCTTCTGGAACCAATCTACCGTGTAAAAACAGACTTAGGTGTATATACATTTATAATATTATTATTATTATATATATATATATATATATATATATTTACAATATTATATATATATATTTATATTTATAAATAAATTGTTTAATGTATATTAAAATAATTTAATTTTTGTAATTATTTTTGAAATTTTTCAATTCAAATAATTCAAATAATCAGATTGGATGTCAAACTTGTCGAAAGGCATTAAATCCTGGAAAAATTCCCACTTTGTGTCAATTTAACGGGTTTGTATTTCCACCTGTATGGTGTATGGCATCGTGCCTTGAGGCAAATTGCTGGAAATTATCATACCAAACTAAAGTTTTGAAATTGAGGAAAGTATCTGTAAGTATTAGAATATAATCCATTATATACAGGCAGTCATCTTAAAGTGAACAATTTATTTATATATTTATTATAGTATACATTTTATTTGCATTTAAAAGTGTGCCCTTCGACATTTCCACAACAAGGTTATATTGTCTTGAATGAGTAGAGTAATCCAAATATCTTCACAAATCCTCCATTACACCCTAAACAATCATGATTTGATTATACATTCTGTGTAGTTATTCTTATTATTAATAATTATGCAAATATAGAGAAACCTTCAGTTGTCTTACTGTAGGGTCTAATATATACAAAATGTTTTCAGATGAATTAAGTAATTGTTAATATAGTCACTGTATTAATGTAACAGATTTCTGTACTATAAATAATCATTAAACAAAATCAAAAATAAATACAGAATTTTTAATAAAAATGGTAGTTGAACTGACATGACATTTGACTGATAAGACTTGTGAAAAACAATTACACAAGTTTACACAAAGTTTATATAAATATGATTACAATAATGTTTTAACAGTTTATACTTACATTTTAATCGGTATTTATCATATCTTGATGTATTTATTGAAATATTTGCAGTTTTGATACGAACACAATAAAGAATAAGATGTTTTGCATAGTTTCAATTATGTGGCACACTTCACTGCTATCAGTTTACATGAATTTAATTTTGACGTATAAAACTGAAAGAATAACAAAAATTTTGTGGTTATATATTTATACAAATTCAAATTTGTAAAAAAATGTGTGGAAATCGGTTGCCAAAATTGTATTGCAAAGTTATTGTGCCAAGCATATTGTTTTTAATCATTTCTACATAGTGTCATTGTGTGGTTTTAACGAATTTATTTTAAATTGCTTGTTTCTGTTTACTTTGAATCCATACAATTGATTGTTGTGCAGTGATTAATTACTAACGAATAGTGCTTAATTAGTAAGTTAATTACTAACGAATAGAGCTTAATTAGTGATTGTAATTAAGTTTTTTATAGTTTTCAACATATATATGAGGTTTTACTCATGAAGTTTGATTTAAATCCCAATAATTAACAAGTTTGAGACAGGGGTTATGTTTTCTTCCGGAGGCTCTTTCACCCACGGGAGCGCCACCGCGAGTAGCCTCCAACCAGCATATATAAGGCGGTGCTAATTAACGCGCAGCTCATTAGTGCGTCAGCTCCCGAACAGTGAACATCTCGTAGTGCAAGTACAATAAGTGATCAAAATGAACAATAATTATTTTACAACCAAGTAGTGTTTATAAAGTGTTATAAAGTGTGTTCCGGCATGCAGTTTACACATATTAAAGGTAAGAACTTTTATTCTTTATAATTTTGCTTAATTATTAAGTTTTATTCGCACAACAAGTGACACCGTCTGGTACTGATTTGTAAACAATGTTTACATCTGTAAAAATATCGTAGGCGTGCTTTGTTGTTGATTTGCAATAAATTTATCACATATTATTTATTATTATTGCACTTTTACATAATATTTATTGAGATTTTTGCGTTTTTTCGCTATTCAAATTTTGTGACATTTGCAAAATCCAAGATGGCGGCCATAATCACCAACGGTGGTTTTGTCCTGTTTTAAATAATATAACCGTTTTCACGGCGTATTATTGATGAAAATTCAATAAACTTTGACCTAATGTATCCATTTACATTAAAAAAACTGCACCTGTACAGTTATTTTTTGCAAAAAAGCAACGAAAAATTCTTCGGTCTTGAACCGAAACAAAACGGCGTCAACTGTCAATTGACCAAAGTTTGAAACGCCTTTTTAACATTACAATCGTATTTGCAACGCTAAAACCCAATATAAATCATTTGTATTTCACAAATTTGATTCATTTTCGTATAAAATTTCATATTGTTATTAATATTTATTATTTGCAAATTTTCTGCAAACTATTAACAAGCCATCTAGCGGCGCATTTGCAAAACAAGATGGCGTCCGTGTAACTTCAGTTCATCTGCAAACCATTGCTAATTGATTTAAATACTTAAATTATTATTTATTCAATAATTATAAATACCTATTTATTCAATAATTATACTTATATTTTTTTTTTACATATTATTTTCAAGTTACATAAAACAATAAATATAAAATGGAATTATTTCATATCATCTAGATGAATATTTTTTTTAAAATAAAGATATAATGACATAATTCCATCATCTATTTATTATTTTATATGACTTAATTAATATAAAATTATAATAAATATATAAATAGTTATTATTTTCCATCAAATCTAATGTTATATTTTTCATTATTTTCAGATTTTGATATGATCTTATCACTTTGATATGATCT